TCCCTGGGCCTCGAGCAAACCCTAGAGGACTACTCTTCCATCTGTTGGGTTAGTTGCTATTTCAAACTAGTACCATGAATTCTGTAATTGTCAGATGGTGGAATATCATGCTGAACCAGCACTAAGAGTATGCCTCTTTCTGTCACGGATTTTACCCTTTTCCTATACTCAATTATTATTTTCTGTTCTTTGGAAAGTATATATGCTTAGTTTCGCAGTATTTATTACCTACCATGGTCACTTCTTGCTCTGTTCTCTCTCGGCAAACCTCGCCAGACCAGCCGTATAACCGTCGTATTCATATTGCCTTCAAAGTGTACATATTTTGTTTACCAGCACAGGAGAGCCTCTGACAGCGGCTGTAAAAGAATATGCTTAATGAAGCCGTCTGCCTTTCGGGCTTATTTGACAACAAGCCTATGGCATTCTTCTCATGGTGACCCATGTTTGCATTTGTCGTAACATACAAGCGAAAATGCCAAAATAGTACTTTTACTGGTATTTTTAAATCCCCCAGTACATCGATTAGTTACACGAGTCAACGTGGTAAATTGAGGTTTTATAGTTTGATGCAGATCGCTCTGCCAGCTCTGGGCTTTTTTTAATTCTTATGTCAGTAACATTTCATTTTTTTGCGTCGACTCAACTGGTTTGTCTTGCGGGACTATATTTTCATTTAGAGGGTTCCTTTGGTCATCCTGGTTAACAGGAATGGAGTGGAAATGTGTAGTACAATTACTTTGTGTCGCAGAAGGCACAGATAAGTTCCGGGTTACATCAGTTTTGTTTAGAGGAGATTTATCGAGGAACACACTCAATAGCAGGGTCTTCGCAGGTCTTCTTGTCCCCGTTATGTAATTTCGGGGTAAATTTGACTATTCGGTCGTCGACTTCTAGAATGATCAGTAAGCAGGCCAGTTCAGGGGACTATTTTTCGTTTTTTAACATATACACACATCACAGATGTCCACTCAATAAAACTGCCTGCAGCCTTTATCACAGCTTCCATGTAGTTGCCTTAACAACCGAATATGTGGACCAGTTTGCTTTTATTTATGTTTGAAACAAGTCCCTTATGACAGTCTTTAGCGAGTCCCTGGTATTGCGTGTATGTTTATTGGTTTTTCTCCAAGCCGCGGCTCAGACCGTTCATAGCAGGCAAGCAAGGAGTCTGACTGCCGTTAGTAGCACACTTAAAGTCATGCGTTATGCGGGCGCAATCATGTCCTCTTAATATGTGACCTAGCTAGCCTGACTTCAACTTAGATTACAAGTTCTGAGGCGTAGT